AACAACAACAACAACACCCCTATATAGAGTCATGGTATTGCGCTGCAGGATGGTGAACTGTACATACTAGATTGGTTTGAACTGAAAGGTTGTCGGTTCAAATTCACCAGGCACTCCTCTGAAACCCTGAATAGGGTCACTATGAGTTGGAACCAAGTTGACAGCATTTAACAACAACACACCCCTGAACATGGTTTCTGAGGAGCAGCTGGTGGGTTTGAACCAACAACCTTGTGGTTCACAGTCTAGTGCTAATCCTATAGCGCCACACCAGGAAACAATAAGACTATGAGTATTTGTTTGCCATTTTGTCATGTGCAAATTTGCATTGTTGTTGTGTGCCATCATCTAATTGATTCCAACTCATAGCCACACTATATAACAGAGTACATTTGCTCCATCAGATTTCCTAGCCTGTAACCTTTATGGGAGCGGAATGCTGCCTACCATTTTGGTTAGCAACCAAGTATATAACTGTTGTGCCACTAGGTCCCCTCAAACTTGCCTTAGCTTTTCACATTTTACAAAATCATTAAAACCTTTTCCTTTACATCTGGTTTCTAATATTATTCCTCACTCAACTTGTATGTCCTCTTCAAACCCACAAGAATTCAATATTGAATTTACTGGAACAAACTTCTGTTTGTATTTTCCATCTCAAGTAGAGGTTAAATATATGGCACTCAACTTTTTAATTTCTTTTTTATCTCTTTCAGCACAGTGGAGAATTTACAGTCTCTCTCAGTGATGTGTTATTGACATGGAAATACTTACTACATGAGAAATTGAATTTGCCAATAGAAAATATGGAAGTGATTGACCATTATGTGGACATTAGAAAGACTTACGATGATTTCTTGAAGAATAGTAATATGTTAGATCTGATTGATGTTTATAAAAAATGTACAAGTCTCACTTCTAATGGTGACAAGAATGACAAGTTATCCCCTGTAAGTATTTCTTAGCAATTCTATTAGAATCAGCTGGATTTATTTTCATGGTAAACTAGAGTGTACCCAGATATAGTAAACTGATTAGGTTTTTGCTTTGGGGGGTTATTAAGAGTGGAATGTTTAGCTACCTGAAAGAAATATTTTGGTGGTAAATTTTATTGTACTTATATTATTGTTATTTGGTTGAAATATATTTTTTATTATAGAAAAAGTTTTTGACAATGAAATCAGTCCTAGATTCCCAGTTTTTGGTGTTTTTTTTTTTTTTTTAATTACAGCAAGGAGGATTGTTTTCTTATATTCTTTTTTAGCTTAATGTACAGCTCTTCATTTGGCATTTATTATGTAAATATTTGCTATGCTTTTGTGTGATTTAATAGTATGTAGCCCTGGTAGCATAGTGAAGTATGTATTGGACTGCTAACCACAAGGTTAGCAGATGGAATCTACCATTTGCTCCCAGGGGAGAAACATGAGACTTTATGCTCATGTAAAGATTTACAGCCCTGCAAACCTTATATAGGGTCAATGTGAGTTGGAACTGTCTCGAGGGTGCATAGCAACATTATTGTTTTACTGAGATGGAGTTTTGCTTTTTTAATCTGAGTAAAGCTATGTAATATATATGAGTTATTTGGTCTTAATTAGATGATTCCTTTTTTGTACAAATAAACCCATTGTCTTACCTTTTTTGGGGGTGTAAATCTAAAAATAAACTCGAGTAGCATCCTTTGCAGTTAGATTTTGTCTATATTACAGTCAATAAAGTGTTTTAGAATATATTTGGACAAATCTAGATTTTTGCATGAAGTATTGAAATTTTTTTTTTTTAATTGTAACATTTTTTAACATTTATCTTTTAACAAAAAAAGTAAGTAAAAAGAAGAGGAGGATGATTTTTGGCAGACAGCTTCCTAATTTTGTCTCATTGGACAAGCATGGGAACATTGCCCTGTAGTAATGTTCCCAACACTTAACTGTGCTCAGGAGGAATCT